TTTGTTTTGAATATACTTTTCTTCCCATCCTGTTGCATTTTTGGACTTCCTCGCGCTCGTGACGTTAAAACATTCACTCGCGTGTATCATGATACCCAATCTGGACAAAAAAATATGGGATGCATTCAAGCAGGAGATTGGCAAACGTGCTTTACATTTGAAATTTTGTTTACTAACCAAGTAAACTAAGTACGAGAATTGCAGTAACATTTAGGGAATGTTTTGCACAAAAGTGAAATGACATCTGGAAGAGCAACCTGTTGAAATTCTTTAAAAGACCCAACAAACACCTTGTTCTTTTTGTTCGTTCATGAATTTACTAAAAGCACCTCTGTTATTTTTGTAGGGTTATGCCTCTTTGTGATTATACATATTTGCATGGGCTCTTTACTCTCTACAATTTAAATCCCCCTTTCGGTGATACAGTGTGCTTTTCGAGATACATCATCCAATTGTCTATCAATCGTTTTGTGTGTTTTGCTAGTTTTTTGCGAACTTGTGATTTTGTGGGGCTTTCAAAAAAGAGAGGAATCACAAGTTACGATGGTGATATTGGTAGAGGCAAACCAAACAAGATCCAATTCAGCGGGTGTCAGGATTTAATTGCATCAAATAAAATCCGCATAACACAGAAAGTCACCTTTCGCGATTCACGGATGTTCTGGCGAGCCAAGTTGTGTAATTCACCTTAGCTACACCGACCTTTGACCGTAACTGTGACTGCCTGATTTGCAAATTGGTAAAAACTGAGAAATTACCTAAAAAAGAATTGTTTGAAAACGTTCGTCATAAAGTACTTGGGAAAGCACAGACACCACTTCCACGCTTTTAGAAGTTCAAAATGACCTCCACTGAAAACTAGCTAAGAGTGGTTGTGAAAATAAATTAACATAGAGAGGCGATTAACAGGGTTAGACCAATTATCTGCTTTTACAAATGTCCTGTAATTAACTAAAAATAAAAATCACTGAAGAATAATGATGATAACCTGTAGGAAGAGAGATGGATGGCTGGATGGGTGGACACGTGTTGGGCAGACTTATAAATGGACACGGGATAGATGCCAATCTCTTGTGGATCACCGACATTTTCAAGTAGTGCAAAACTCTTCAGCCAACGTACAATGGTTTGCCTAGACAAAGCAGTTATGTTTTCGCTGGAATGGAAGACATTTGACATTGACTTTTGCAATCCGAAATTCTCTGAATATTAAGGAGGTTGATTTTGCAATTCGAGTTTCCAGCTTTGCAAGGTGGTACGACATTCGCACCTATGGGTTCCAAAACACACTTCAGTGCTTAAATAGTCTAGCAAAATCCATGCTGGCGTTCCAAAGGATGCACGCAGCATTAATTCTCTGTGATCATCAGATTTCGGGACTCCATGAGAATTGTTAAGGTTGAAGTTTGTTTGCGCCTCAAATATTTCCTTACAAAACTTGAATGCCATATTTATTTTGGCACTGCGGAGGAAGTGAGACATTTTCTCCTCCTAAAAAGCGGTAAGCCAGTCTTTGCCAAAGCAGAAGGGGATTAACCCAATGAGTGAAAATTTACAAAGTATCAAGCAAACTAGTCACTTTTAAGTCCTTCATTTTGGACCGGCACAATTGTTTAAGTTAAGGAATGAAATGCCGTTAGCCTGCCATAACCTACCCTCAATCTACACTACAATCAGCAGAGAATGACCTAGATGGACATCTAGATCATGTTGCGCTGACTGAAAGATGATTTTAAATGTCTTTTTTATTTTCATAAATTCTTCTAAATTGTCTAATGGACGAAAACGGTAATACACCCTATGTAAAATATTGTCCAGATATAAATGATGCCCTTTAAATAGACGCTGAAAAAAATATGACAAATTGACACTGGTAAAAACCAGGAGGCATACTATTACCGTCTAATTCTGAATAAACCTGCACGTGATGAAGAATACCCGCAAGATTTTTACGTCTCTTTCACCGTTGATTTGATCCCACCCAACAACTGGTTTCACAATTGGCGCAGAAGAATGTTCACAGGGACAATGGTGGATATGCTCACAAGAAGACGAAAGCTATTTAGCCCACCAAATGATAATGTGGAAGGCCTATGGATGGTTAGGTGATAGCAGGTTGGATACGGCATAGGTGATTGAATGGATGCTGGATGAATACTATTTAAGGAAGAGGTGGTTAGAGGGTTGATGCGACGTGAATGAAGATTATTTTTTATATATTTTTTTCAGTTATTTCTTTTTTGGTCTTTTATAACCGCATAATGAGAGATCATTAAGCTTCTCCCCATATTTGAAACTTTTAACAGCCCATCCTAACTTGAGAGTCGTCAATGTAACCATGAACAAGGAGGACAAGAAACCACTTGCCATGTACTATTTTGAATTTGTAGATAGTCTCTCGATTCGCTTGTCAAAATGGGCGTCAATTTAACCGGTGTTTCTTCCGTATTCAAAAAAAATTACCAAAAGCAAACAAGCAAGTCCTTTGTCCACAGGTACAACGGAGTTTTTGTACTTATCTGTCAAATTTGAGCCAGTCACACTACTAATTTGCGTATTTTCTTTTTAACGCAGACAAAATATGCCTTCGACTCAACTGTTGGTATATTCAGTGTTTACATAAGCCTGGCCTCCTTCCGGAAATGAGTGATGGTGTTATGCGACAGCCAAAGTGAGGCAACCTAGATAGCTAGTTTTTATGGCTTTTAGTGGGTTAGATAAAATTTGTACTTAATTCATTTCCAACTAAGCTATGGTTGAATTATTCAAGCAGAACCGCCTTTCTTATCACTATTCAGACCCAACAAATGCGTCTATTGATCACATTAGCAATTTTAGCTCAAAAGTGGAAGATCAAAGACTTCTAAGTGGGTAAGGAGACAAAAGACTAGAAAGGCTACGGTGTGGCCAATTTACAAAACTAGCTCTCAACATAGTGCACTATGCTGCTTGGTATTTTGAGGACGAAAGTTCCCTCAAATGGCGATGACATTTGTCCTCTACATTAACCACGGACTCAAGCATGTGGATATGCTTCGTTATTTCTTTTGTAATGATTTATCCATCGAACTTTGGTGGATGATGATGTGGATGATATGGACACCAAGTAGCATTGATGGCAACTAATGTCATGACAGACTGAATGATGATATGGATACGAGTCACTTCAATACAGTTGGATGGAAGTTGACTCGAGCTCCCCTACAAATATTTGCTGATCGTTCTCATCGCATTGCTTAATATTATAAAACAAGTTTTTTCTTAGGTTTACCAAAAGCAACCTTTTAAATTCCTTTTACGGCTCATTTGATGTTTTGAACAAGTTATGGTTCGGGTTGGTAAAACATTTTGTAAAGTCAAAATGGCACATTCTACTTACAACCTATAATGTACAGTCCAGCATCAAGAATTAATTCTCCCTATTAAAGATAAATTCGAAGACACTACTTCTTTTAAAGCAAGTTTTTTTTAAAAAAAAACATTTCTTCCTAGCAAATTACATTTCATAAAAATGTCATCAGTAAATGCAAAATTTAGGCCTTGTTGAATCCAATGATGATTGTTGGACTTTATGCTTCCTTATGTGTTTGTTAAAGCCTGTTTTCAAGAAAGAAGACGTGTACTTTTCCACTTCGTTTTAGAAATAAAGTGGTAAATTCTAATTCTGAAGTAAGGAACTCCTTAGATATGGTTCTAACCTAAATAGAACCAAACAGCTAATAAATCAACCGTTCTTCGGGACAAGAAGAAAAAGCCAGAAGAAATTTAGAAGCAAAAGTCCGGAAGTTCTTTTTATAGTTAACTTTGGTCTTTTTTAGGTTCTAACCACCCTTAACCAGATGTTTTAAATTCCGTTAGACAACATAAAAATAACAAAGCTGTATTAATTTTATCCATTCCCTATGGGCCAGCAATTTAGCACATAGGCTACCCAGTGAAATAAGTATTTAAGTAGTACATACGATGCTACAACAAAAATCTGTTGTGCATTCTAATAAATGAGTCAATTAAAGTTCTTCTTGGATAAAATATAAAAGCCTTGAAAGTACTATAATTTTCAGAATGTTTTTGAAGATTAAACGATGCTTTAAAAAATCCAAAAAAATACTTAATCCGTAAAACTAAGATTATTCTCAGAAGAGGTAAAGACATTTATTTAAAAACTAGAGAATATTTAGGAAAACAAATAAAGGGAGTAGCAGAGTATACCTCAGAATTTACTTGCGGTGAGTAGTTATATGTTACCTATTTTATTAGGCTTTCATCAAAAAAAAAGATGTTACTGCTAAAAATTTGACCTCAACTCTAAGAAAAAATAGCCGATGATTCACTCAACTAGTCTTCAGATCATCATATTTTACTTGTGAGCTCCTTGTATCAAGCCCTTGAATTATTTTAACACCTTATTGCACTTAAAAATGCTTGAGAAAATGAGCATTTATTTCTACGAGAAATTATTTTTTAGTTAAATAAAAGTCAAAGCCTGAAGAAAAAAACATTTTAAGGCGCCACATGGCCTAAATCTAGCATTTGCATGTATACATTAATAAATTGCAAAAAAGGTGGTTCCAAAATACTGCACGTTTTAAGGGAGTCACATCTACTCCGCATTATCTTGCGAGGTGGCAACAACGGTCGCATCACAGGAAATAGGGAGTGTACTCAGCGCCTTGGCAATCCTTGCACTCCTTGGCTCCACCTCCACACAAGTCAATCCATTCTTTTGACTCCCCTGACGATGAAATGTATGCACTCCAGCTTTACACCCTGCAGCCATGCATCTACGTCCAAATAGGGACTTACAGGTAGTTCTGAACTTGATGGAGAAGAGGGAATAAAAGACAAAGTTCATGGTGGCATTAGTGAAAAGCAAAACGTTTGAAACATTCGAGAAAACGATAATAAGAGAATGAAAGTTTGCATCAGCAACAATCTCCTCTGAGGTAAAGAGGTTGGAAATAATGTTGAGCACAGTGCTGGGGATCTGGAGAATCAGGAATGCCACCACAATTGAGATTAGCATAACTGTGATCCTCTGTTGTTCGCTGAACAAAGCCCTGCGTGAACTGTTAGTGCGCATCTGGGCAACTGCTACAGTAGCATTTAAGCAAGATTTTGCAATTTCCACATTTTTGGATTTATACTGGGCTTTCGGATGCCGATCTTGGTACTCCTTTAGCATGTCTCTGCGCTTTCGTTTTGCCCTTAAGCCTTTTCGAATTAAAAGGATATTAAAAATTGTCAGCAGAAGGAAAGGCAAAATAACAAAGGAGATTTGATTAATAAACGCATATCCAAAGGTGGTTAGAACTTTTTGATATTCTGAGTCCTCGACAATATATCTTCCACCGGGAATAAGTGTTCCATTTGCATACATTGGGGGAGTGACTTTTCTTTGAAGAAAATCCGGAAATGTGACGATGAAGGAGACAATGCAAACTATACACACAATGCGTTTTGCCTTTCCCCGAGTGCACACACGATGTCCAAAAATTGGGAAGGAAATGTTGATGAAACGCTCAATGGTAAAGCTGACCGTTAGCCACGTTGTGATGTTACTAAAGAGATTTGCAGTCCCATGGATAATTGGTACGGCTTGCATATAAATCCGCATGCTATAGAATGTTGGGTAGATTTGAAGACTGAATAATAAAGAATATGTGAGGTAGATTAAGTCTGAAGCTGCTACAGCTGTTAGATACACATTGGTAGAAGATTTCATCCATGATCGAGTTAGAACAATGATGTTTATAATGTTGACTACGATCCCGGTGGTGCATATAAATGGAGTAAGGATTTTGCAGCATATCAGACGAGCGAAATATATCCGCTTTTCATAGACTTCATCCATTTCTGAATCAACAGTAAAGCCACGCTGAAGATGGTTTTTTGACAGCTAAGAGCCTGATTGGTTGGTTTCGGGCACCAATGGGAGCCCAGGTCTGGTTGGCGGCACTTTCTATTGGTATTTTCTGTCTTCGATGTCTTGTAAACAGGTGCAGCATTACTGCCTTTGTGCAAAATTTTTTAATGACAATAAATGCACTTTTACAAAGTAAGGCAAATTCGTGTTGGAGCATTTTACTTAAATTTTATGGACATTTGGCGAATCAGACAAAAAGCAAATATTTTGCAATATTTTCTTGATACATTTCATTTTATTCAGCATGGTTAAAATTGAATATGAAAGCGGAAACACTTCCCTGTCGACTCCAAGGGGTATGGTTCTACCACATTAAATAATTCAGCTGCAGTATCTCTGGATGTTTTTGCTTAAAGAAGAATTATTCAACGCCAAATTTAACTTAATTAAACAGATTCTTTTGCTATAAAGCGTACGGCTTTCGCACATGATGTGTTAAACTTTTAAAACAGCCCCTGGTAATTCAACTAACCTCAAGGAAATTCTATTTTAGGCATTCAATGAATCCCTGCGCATGAGCGTTGCAGTACACAGTTATTAGTGAATTTTCTTAAGAAATGTGCCATGCTATTCTATCAAGGTTTATCTAAATGATCAAGGCCAGCGTCAATTCTCTATTTATGCTTTTTTTATGCTCTTCAATGCCTAAATCATTTGAATAGTCGGGACCCCATACCTCTGTGCGCGTCCATTGGGCGGTCTTTTGCGTCAAGAGTTGTTATAATCTCGCGTATTTTTCAATGCTTTGACTAGCTGTAGTCGCCTTTGGGATATTAGCACACTTAGAGGGCAACTATATTATTACTAGCCAATCATGACGGGGGGAGAGGAGCCCATTGAGAGTCCCGAGAATGGTGTATTCTGGAAATTTGGAAAACAACTACCTGCAAACAATTCTGTAACTATGGAATCAAAGTGTTAATTCCAAAACTGCCTGTATCTTTAGCCCATAAGCATGGCGGTTTCTAGCTATAAACTGGATTTAACTGACGGACCAACGGCAATTGTCCATTTTCCCACCTAAACAAGCTTTAATTTTATTGCCGCAAATTGAGATTTTCAATATAAACATGGGAAAAACCCCGCTGCTGTGAATTTTAAAGCAAAAAAATGAGCCTATTTAAACAGTTACCAGTTTGTGCGTTATCGTGACAAACCCATCTCCCATGATGTTGATCACTAACAAAAACTTGTCCAACAATTTTAGGCACAATTGAAATGAACTAAATTAAATTTAAAAACATCATATTGGATTTTAAGTTGCTCTAGCTTACATTTACAAATGAAAAAGAGTTCTTTATTGCTGTTTTGATTCGGTGGTTGGTGCACCATTTATAGCGACAGTTCATCAAGTGGCTGCCTGGTATGGACTTATAGGGGCTGACAAAATTAAGTTTTCAGTACTTATTCTTGAGAAGCCTAGAGGATTGAATAAGTATGAACACTAATCTTCGCAATCATTTTTTGCTTTTAATTTTCCTTCTTGAAAAGTAGGCACAACGTTAAAGAAAGTAGCATCTGCCCGCTTTATTAGTAAATTTGTAGTATACTTCCACTCAGTTTCCCAGTTTTATAAGCCACACCACCAATCTTTATAGGCTAAGCGTTCCGTAATAGCAGATCGCCTGGATTCTGCCAACACCCAACCAGATAAGACAGAAGCGAAGACTAGAGCAGATGAATTTACTGACCGGCCTGTGTGTAGTCCTGAAAACTAGCTACTTGAGACTGCCGAAGTCCTAGTGTGGAACACTCTGTTGGCTTAACAGATTGGCCATGAAGTTAGGGTGTCACTGCCTTTTAAGTGTATCTAAACGTTGTTGAGGGTGATCAGGAGACACTAAGTAGGAGCCAAACCTTGACAACGCTAAAAAAGTAAAACCACAATATTTTTGACCGAAAAGGTGTTTCCGGGGTTAAGGCCATTCGCATAAACTAAATACACTGATATCGCATACACTGCCATATATAGTAGTATATTTTGCATAAAATATCATAAATGTCTTCCATAATTACCTGTTTTGTTCCATCCTTGCTTTTAACATCAGCACTTGTGCAATCAGGTAAAGGAAACCTTAACCCTTTACAAATAGGTAAAATAAATTTGGTTTCTTAGTCATGTCACTGCAAAATTGTACGTCCAGCAAGCCAATTTATCTCTTTCCTTCTCTCCAAAGACTAATTAATTAAGTGCGGCAATTGTGTTTTCTCAGCATTTGCAATCTAGGCCAAGAAAGAAGCACGCATCTGCTCAAATATCATTTACAAAGAAAGTGACATGTGCAATCTTATTCCGATCCTTCTCTCTCCCTGCTTCTCTCTTGAACTCTCTTTCTCTAAAATGCCAAAGACTTTTCTTACGCAAAACCATTACCATACTTTACTCAGAAGTGAAATATGTTAACAAAGGAAGGCAGAAAAGAGGGGCTCCTTGCACGGCTCTCATTCATCTCAGATCCGTAATTATTAAAAAGAATGAAGCTGAATGGATTTAAAAACTGTCATAATACTTGTGATTTTATCCTTCTATTCAACCAGGAAATAAGCATAGGGAAGTTGAAATTAATCTTAGTTTTTCTACAAAAAATAGCAACCTTTGTGCTGGGCTTTCTGCATAGGACATTCTCCAGGCTGTGAGGGCCGTGATATCAGTGCAAACAAATTGTACTATGGAATAAACATTAGTTGTCAGTGGGGTAATTTTCCGGCAAAAAGTTAAAACAGGTGCTCATTAAGAGTTGTACAATGTCGACAAATATCTAGCTCATCATTTGGAACCAAAATGAACCTTTAGAACGTAACTTTATTGTGTACCCCCTCGCGGTTGACCGGTACAAAGTATAAATATATTTTAAGTGCAGTAAGGTCAAGATCAATCAAATGTCATAAATTGACGAAACTGGAATTTACCGCATACTTTTGGCTGTCTCTTCTGTCTATCCCCTTGCGACCCTCTGTACTACGTACATTTCCTATCACCTACTCGGGAGAGGAAGGGGAAAATTAGGAGATAGACAGGATACCAAAATATTTGCGAAAATTTAAAGAATTTCTGCGTTTTGAGGTAGGACTAGATAGGAATAGAAGACAATCAAACAACGGGAAATTTTTGTGGTTGCAGCTAACATAAGAAGGGTTTCAAATGGTCTTTTGTTAGTCCAAACAATCAACATTACACCTTATCTCTGTTTTCTACTTAGATGTAAATTAGGAAAGTTTTAAACCGTGCTTCATTATCATCTGCTTTTTTAATGTGATTCTCTGACTCTGATAAAAATCCTTGAAGCTTTGGAAGGGGGTTCGTAAACCAGCTCAAATTAGATCTGCTCAATTGCCGGAACGATGGCACATAGGCAAAGGGTAGGGCTTTATGAGTTATGTATAGGAAGGTTATCACACATTTGACAAGTTCCTCTGGGGCTACAGCAGATGCATCCTGACTTCGTGTTCTTGATGCAAAGACTGAAAAATAAGGCTTTAATCTACTTTTACTGTACCGTGGTTTCTCCCGAAACTCCGTCGTTAATCCTCTGTAGCCATCAAATGGCTGGACCCAAATACGGGTGGCGTTAACTCTTGTTTGACACTTTAATTCACTGGGTAGTGTTAAAATTTCGTAAAATTGTTGTAAAAGCAAAATTCTTTTATTTTTACTCATCAGTACTTCCTAGAAAAGACCAGATAGCAACGCTGAATCTCTAGCTGATTATGAATTGCTTGACGAGAAAGGGAAAAAAATTTCAAATCCTAACAACGGCTACCTGTCTATCGGCCCATCTACCCAACTGCTCACTTCTCTACCTCTGTAAGCACTTCTTCGTACTATCTTAAGCAAATTTGTAAAATTAATGACTTTTGTAAGAAATTCTTAGGAATTATGCGGCAGTTTGTCCATATTAACAATCAGTCGTAGCAACAGTCGGACAAAAACAGTTACTTATTACTTGCAAAGAAGGAAAAGCAAAATTAGGAGTTTTTTACTCATAAAAGATTTTTGTTGTAGACAGCTTAAAAATTTTTCACTTATTTTGAAAACGGTTAGATTTTTTTTTAGTTTGTCTACGTCGTGCAAGCACCGCGAATCTGTTCGTCAAGTAACCAATAGGGGAAAAAATAATGGTGACAAATCTAGGCGAGGCAGTGAGCAACCCTGTTGACCAGATAACTTTATCTCTGTGTATGGGACTTTAAACTAAGCCCCTATTTCTGGTAGCATTTTCATTTTTATGCAAAGTGGTAAGGCAGTCATTTTCATTGCCCTCATCAGTAACCTTTTACTACTCGTTAAGGGAGATCAACCATCCAATGAGCTTTCACAGGGGAGTACGTTTAGATTTCCTGCTGGACTAGTCAGAAATGTTATGTAATTTAGCAAACTTCAGCGCTGTTAAATTTTTCCGCCAAAGAATAGCGTTCTTCAAACTCTCTCACAGTGTCCAGACCATCCTTAAACTGCCTCCTATGCATTAAGAGGACATTTGGCATTCATCAGGCCTTATCTGCGCATGATAATAAATCATCTATGAAGCAATTGGTTAAGTTGTATTAAAATTGGCTATTTGCAAAATGTTGTAAAATTTGTATTCTACCCTTGCTTAGGAAATGTCTCAATATCTGGATCTCGTTTAAATAGGAAATCCGTTAAGGACAATTTAAATAGGTAGGGCAACAAACAGTAAATAGTGAATCAGGTAAATGATTACAGAAGTCCTCTTTTTTTAGAAAAATTTAGCATTTGGTAAGCACCAAAAATACAGTGTCTTCTCCTTGTAGACGTGCATTGCAACTGCCTATCTGTTAAAAGACCACAAATAGGAGCTTGAGATGTGTCGTAGGAGTCTTCCCCATAAATCAGTTGTAATTCGTTCCGATTAGAGTAAAATAGTAAGTCAGGATAAGCTTCAATCCTCTAGCAGAAATTCTGAAGAGGGTCGTAAGCAAATTAATCCCATAGGCGCTCTGCAATTGCGATTCCATCTATGGTAGGACCTCAGGCCATCCTTAAAGTCATGATGGTCACGAGCTATCATGAGTCCTGAAGTACTTTTTACACGTTTGCACTGCTCACTCAAATAAATTGATTCCTTAGTGTTCTTTCACAAAATTCCCGATGTTGTTTTATTCCATTAGCAGCCACGCAGATGCTTCCAGCATGCGTTCACTTAATTGCCTTCCTTTAGTTTATACATCCGGTGGGCATAAATGCAGGTTTCAAGAGGTCCTCGAAGTAGTCAGACAACACGAAACATGCGGAGCCGTTGTTTAAATAATTGTGCTAAAGATATATTATTTTAGTCAGTTACCAGAAGCTATGATTTTAAAAAAGGGAGCTCTAAGTTAAAAAGTCAAAATTGGGGATGAAAATCATTTACTTGCTGTGGAGTAAAAGTGTAAATTCAAAAACTAGAAAGTGGGAGCTGATTAAGAGAAAAAGGACTAAAGCCTGGCCTACAATTTACTTTAATCGAGGAGAAGGAAGCGGCCACTTCTCTTGATGAATGGTTGAGGATCACGGCAGTGTCTCTGCATCATCTAGGTCAGAAAAGAGTTGTTACATACTAAATATAAGTCGAGTCATATCAAATCAAATCACCAAATAAGACTTACAAGTTTGGTCAAGTCCACGGCC